GAAAGGTGTCATTCCATTGACGTATCAGTATGCAGCGAATATGTAAGAACGAAAAGTAACGCCTTCGCATGGCGACTGTCGCGCATGGACAATAAAATCAGCTGCAGTAAACAAACACATATTTTGTTTCACGTTTCCACGGCTTTAAGTTAAACGGAGAGTTGTTGTTACCACATTTTATTTGGTATTGAATTCGTAATACGTCAAAAAATGAATCTAGGCGCAGCGCTCTGAAATAAGAAAAAATTAATGGAATAACTATCAGTATTCAGCGAAAATGTAAGAACGAAAAACAAGGCAAGGCAAAAATCAACAAGACCCGTAAGCCTATAGTAAGGAATAGATAATTAGTATACGCCTACAACGTAAGGTGATAAGACCCAATTTACGTACAGTTGTGACCGACCCTAACCCTAACCCAATCCCTAACCCTAACCCTAATCCTAACCCTAACCCAAACCCTAACCCTAACCTTAACCCTGACCCTAACCCTAATCCTAACACTATCCTAACATTAGTGCTGCCACGTTGCGGTAACCTCCCTCCACGCCCGGGGGATAGCATTACCCAATCCTAACACTATCCTAACACTAGTGCTGCCACGTTGCGGTAACCTCCCTCCACGCCCGGGGGATAGCATTACCCCATGCTTTCTCGCTAATACAATATGGTGGCAGACCATGCGCGCCACGTGGCGGAGCGGGTCTCACTAGAATCCGTGCGACATAACAGGAATGCGACGAAGAACATTCGGTTTACGATTATTGCCTACCATTAAGCTTTATAGTTGCTTTTTGATAGCAACAGTAGCATCCCGACGCTAGACAGTTAGCACCACACGAACATTATGGGTATAGGGTTGGTAGTTAATGGTATACCTTATAATAATTAGTGTTAGTGTTGTAACGAAATTTGCATACGCGTGCGTTATACGTTTTTTGGATAAGAAAAACTTTCGTTTGTATAAATGTAAATTTCAAACACTGATGATTCCGAGAGTCAACAGGGCCGTATTAGCGGGGAGAGCTAAAAGGGTTGCGATCAATGTATTTGTTTATATATCACCATTGTTATCATAACTCCCGATTCGTGGAGCACGTGAGCGCAAATTGTCCGCAAGAGATCACTTGATTAAACATATGACAGATGACAAGCAACAGAAGCGAAACATGCCTCTGAATTCGAACAGGACAATCGACACACGACACGCCAGGCATCTTGTCACAATGTCTCAGCTAGATGGCAGGATACCACTGCCCCAATACTCTTACAGTTGACACGACAACCTGACCCAATCTATTACAGTAAAAGGCCAACCTGCCCAAATTTCTGTCATATGACAGGACACCACTGTCACAAGATTTTTCTACGGCTAACCCATTTTCTACGGCGTTATCAATACGTAAACTAGTCGCGGGCGGGCGCGGCGGCACGTGTGCATGGTAAAATCTGATTCTACATGCTTCCCTTTGCTCGCAGCTCGCGCACGATTCCCACTATGGCTAATGTACATGAAAAAGCGGACCTCGACGTCGGTTGCCGTTGACTGCCAAGATATTGGCCGGTTTTATTACGTTCAAACGCATCGCCTACAGATAACTTTTAATTAGTGTATTACCCTAAATTTCTACAGCGAAATGTCGTGTTATTTCCACACTTATCTCTTAAAATAACTATACCTTAGTGTATATAGCAAAATGCTACACTATAATCATTTGCATCTTATTTACTAATATTGATATCTTGTTACATTGCGGTACGCCAATACTAATGTTCTCTATGCAGATAGCTTTCATGTTTTACTATCCTAATTTAACACTGGCGAATGCTCTGTTAATTATTTCTACATTAATCTATATTTGCTATATAAAATTCACACACGAAAAGTAATGTTAATTATTCGAACACCATGTGTGTTTATCGCGTTATCTGTGTTATGCAGTATTACCACGTAGACTTATAAATGACCAAAAGCCGGAAAATGGAGCTTTTATTTCACTTTTAACAATTGTTGACGTCCTACAGTCTTCTGCCGCCTCTGTCGGCGGCCTTCGTGTGGTGACAATCGTACATGGCTAACAAAAGCCGCTGCAATAAAGAAGCACATATTTTTGTTTTATGTTTATACGATTTAAAAGATACCCGCGAGTTGTTTCTTTTATTTGCTACTTACAGCCGTGATATGTCAAGAAAATATGTGTCCAGGCGCAATACGTCACTCTAACAAAGAAAGCGTGTCATTCCATTGACGTATCAGTATGCAGCGAATGTGTAAAAACGAAAAGTACGGCCTTCGTATGGCGACTGTCGCGCATGGACAATAAAATCAGCTGCAGTAAACAAACACATATTTTGTTTCACGTATCACGGGTTTAAATTAAACGGAGGTTGTTGTTACCCACATTTTATGTTGGTATGGAATCCGTAAAACGTCAAGAAATGAATCTAGGGCTAGCGCTCTGAAATAAAAAGAATGGAATGATTATCAGTATTACGAAAA